TTAGTGGGAGGCTTATCGGAACCCCGTAGAAGTTTTAATAATGATTTTTTAAGGTGAAATATGTCAAAAATTAAATGAAAATGTTAAGTGCGTTTTTTGTAATATTAGGTATTTTTCAAAAACCTAACTTTAGGAGGAAACTGAACTAGGATGAAACGCATCGTTGCTTGAGTTGCGGAATTTTTCGGAAATTTATCTGTGATATTTATGAGAAAACTGTGAACAGTTACTGCTTGATTGTTGTCTTCTTCGTCATACACTGGTATTGCTAAGAGCCTTTGTGTTGAGAATGATGTTGTTGTCGATTGCAGTTGATCCTTCACTACGTAATACCCGAGTTCAAAACATGCGATGAATTCCTTGCTTACATTGCACGAAAAATTGGTCGCTTAAAGAAAGGCGGCCGTCCTGATATGAGTGCTGCTGCTAAGAAAGTATGTGCTTTCACTTTAAACATACCTACATCCCACCTAAGTTTCTTTTCATGATAATTTCGATGTGGCAGTATAAAGCCGAGCTGTCGCTTGAACAAATGCTCTAGTATTCATAATATTATTGAAGTTAGTTAACTTGCGAGTCGGACGATACTATGTCAAGCAGTCCAGCGTCATTTAACCTACGGTTCAGTTCCTACCCAAATCTACTAGTTCATCAGCGATCGTCTGAGTAGCTGCTTCTTTTTTTCGTACCATTAAGGTCGCTCTTCTAATTTTCGATTTCGGTAAGTAAAGTTCGATCCCAAAAAATTTCACATACTGCGCACAGGTATTGGTCGACTGGAACACTGGCAAACTGCGCTATTTCACAGAACCACCAGAGGGAGAAAATGAAGATGAGCAGCATGGCAAATTATGCTCTGCAGAATTGTTATCGGAAATGTCAAAAGAATTTGATCTGGAAGCACTGGACGACGAACAGAAAACTCTAGTAGAGGGCATGCTTTTCAGCCGTTATTCCTCACTTTTCTCTTGACTTGTAGGAAGAAATGCTGTCGTGATGGTTCTGTTGTGGCGATAGCGTGACGTATAATTAGCTGAGGCAAGAAACGCTAAGCCGGTGTCATTCAGCAGAAATGAAAAATTGCGGGAAATTACTTGATTTTGCAAAAAGCGGGAATTGCCGAAGGGGAGCATGAATTTGCATACGGGTGTTGTTTTATGTATAAGCAGTATCTGCGGGCTCAAAAGCGAAAGGAATTACTTGCTTTTCTTAAAAACGTTTGATATACTCTTTTAACTTTAACGAGTTGTGTAAGGGAAAAATACATCCTTCGTATGTTGTGGTTATGTTCAGGAATGCCGAGACGAAGCATGACAAATGTCGATGTAAAATACGATCCTGCAGTAACAGCAGCAGCAGAATCATACAACGAGGATTCTGAAGCGCAAATGGAAGTTGGAGAAAATAATCCTGAAAAAACTGTTATTTTTAACCCGGAGAAGGTTCCACATGTTTATTTGCTACACATAAATGCACATTTTTCCACAAACTCTTCAGTAAGCATTAATAGTTTTTACTGTATTCTTGTATGCACAATGATTATTGAAATCTCCTCCGGAGGAGTAAT